AAAAAAAAAAAAATGCAAAGCTGCTGCTGCATACAATACTATTGCAATCAGTATATCAATCCTGTGGTGATTTCTGTCATATTATATTGTGAATAAAATTGTTCTACAGAAATTAAATGATTTAAAACTCATATATAAAATGTTTAATTTTTCTGCCTGCTTTATGGCTGGTTCTGTTATTTGATGTGCTAATTTGGGAACTTAATTCATATTCACGCAGTCTGTATAGATAACTAAAGCCCAGTTAAGTATTTTGTAATTTCAGGCTGCTATGCCATGCTTGGGATGTGGTTTAAAAGAAAGAAAAAAAATATTTAACATATTTCACATTTCTGCACTTTCATCTTCCAAGTAAATCTATGGATGATTTGATGAGTAGGGAATGAACCTGTTTCCTGTACTCACATACCAAGGACACACTTGTGGTTAAAGTGAGTTGATAATGTGGTGTAAAGGATGGTTGTCACCAACTCATTTCTTTATCATCTCTAATGAAAAATCCATTTTGCATACGGTTAATTCTGTAAACAGATGCATGCACATAATATCTATAATGGTCTTGTAATCTTAATCTAATATATTTTAGATATTTTAGTTTTTCCCTCTTAGGAAATACATTTAGTATAGTGTAGAAAAATACTTCATGATATTCTCATATAAGGTTAGATAACTTTTCATAGAGAAACATGAAATTTGTTGTAGATAATTCTTTAAATGAAACACTTAATCTAGAAATTCAATTTAATATATTCCCTGAATCTATTTTTATATGGCTCTTCAGAATATATCCCCAAAAATTCATTGCTAATCCAGCAATAAAAATAATTTGTGTACTGATAAATTTCCTGAAGTATGTATATATAAAATCACAAAACTTGTATTCATTCTCTTTCTGTGATATGTTGTTCTACAGTCCAGAATAGGTTTTGCAAAATTTTTTAAACCAGTTTTCCCCTTTGACGTTGGTACCAGAGTTGCTATAAATGACTGCTGCTTTCGG